GGAAAAAAATTTTGCAATCTACCCATCTGACAAAGGGTTAATATCCAGAATCTACAAAGAACTAAAATAGATTTACAAGAAAAAAACAAGCCCATTCAAAAGTGGGTGAAGGATATGAACAGATCCTTTACAAAAGACGACATACATGAGGCCAACAAACATGAAAAAATGCTCATCATCACTGGTCATTAGAGAAACGCAAATCAAAACTACATTGAGATACCATCTCATGCCAGTTAGAATGGCAATCATTAAAAAATCTGGAGACAACAGATGCTGGAGAGGATGTGGAGAAATAGGAACACTTTTACACTGTTGGTGGGAGTGTTAGTTCAACCATTGTGGAAGACAGTATGGTGATTCCTCAAGGACCTAGAAATAGAAATCCCATTTGACCCAGCAATCCTATTACTGGGTATATATCCAAATGATTATAAATCATTCTACCATAAGGACACATGCACACGAATGTTCATTGCAGCACTGTTTACAATAGCAAAGACCTGGAACCAACCCAAATGCCCACTGATGATAGTCTAGACAGGGAAAATGTGTCACATGTACACCATGGAATACTATGCAGCCATCAAAAAATGATGAGTTCGTGTCCTTTGTAGGGACATGGATGAACCTGGGAACCATCATTCTCAGCAAACTGACACAAGAACAGAAAATCAAACACCACATGTTCTCACTCATAGGCGGGTGTTGAACAATGAGAACACATGGACACAGGGAGCGTAGCATCACACACTGGGGTCTGCTGGGGGAAAATAGGGGAAGGACAGTGGGGGGTGGGGAGTTGGGGAGAGATGGCATGGGGAGAAATGCCAGATATAGGTGATGGGGAGGAAGGCAGCAAATCACACTGCCATGTGTGTACTTAGGCAACAATCTTGCATGTTCTTCACATGTACCCCAAAACTTAAAATGCAATTTAAAAAAAAGAATTACCTGGGGAGCTAATTAAAGTGAGGCTAAGCAGGCTCTCCCGTCTTCTGCTGCCCCACAAAGTCTAATTCATTGGAGCAGGAGGTGGCAGAGAGGGGCCCAGGATCCTAATATGGATGGTCCTTAGACTAAACTTTGTGAAATAACTTTGCTATGCAAAAGAAAGAGCTTTCTGCTGAAGGAGGAACTCAGTAGTTTGTTAATTCAAATTGTTAAAAATAATTTTATTCCCACATATTTAAACCTGAAAAGAAATTCATGAAAAAACAAATTAAGTTGGCAATATAAATAGCTTAATAGATAACTAGTATTTGGACTTCATACTTTAATTTTGAAAACTCACTGTTAAACGCAAATATTTTCTATTTGAACTCTGTTCAATGAGCTTCAATTTTATGTTTAAAGCAAGTCTATCAAGTGATTCATACCTTATCTTCAACATATACTCATGAAAAACTCACTACTGTGGCCGGGTATGGTGGCTTACTCCTATAATCCCAGCACTTTGGAAGATGAAGGCAGGTAGATCGCTTGAAGTCAGGCATTTGAGACCAACCTGGCCAACATGGCAAAACCCCATCTCTGTTAAAATACAAAAAATTAGTTGGGTCTGGTGGCAGGCAAAGATGATTTGTAATTTGTCAATTGAATACAGCCTTGACTCTTAGTAGAAAATCACAAACTTGTGTTAAGGCCAGCCACAGTGGCTTGCCTGTAATCCCAGCTACTCAGGAGGCTAAGGCAGGAGAATTGCTTCAACCCAGGAGGCGGAGGTTGCAGTGAGCCGGGATGGTGCCACTACACACCAGCCTAGAAGACAGAGTAAAACCCTGTCTCAAAAAACAAACAAACAAAACAAAAACAAAAACAAACACTACTGCTTAAGTACTGCACTCTGTCAAATTTATCATATAACTCTCATTTGCTTAATATTTTTTTTTAGATAGTCTTGCCCTGTTGCCCAGGCTGGAGAGCAGTGGCATGATCTCAGCCCACTGCAACCTCCATCTCCTGGGCTCAAACGATCCTCCCATCTCAGCCTCCTGAGTAGCCAGTACTACAGGTGCACACCATGCCTGGTTCATTTTTGTATTTTTTATAGAAATGGGGTTTTACTATGTTGCTCAGGCTGGTCTCAAACTCCTGAGCTCAAGTGACCCGCCCACCTCAGCCTCCTAAAGTGCTGGGATTACAGGTGAGCCACTGTGCCTGGCCTTTGTGATTTTCTACTAAGAGTCAAGGCTGTATTCAATTGACAATTACAAAATTAAAAATGCGGATACGGAGTCATCCACAAATACCATTAGTCAGAATATAATCTGGCAGTCTTTCTGGAGCTCAATTTGGTGATAATTAAAATTTTATATAGTTTGACCAGGTAGATTCATCCAACAGAAAAGTCAACCAATATCTAGACACAAAGATCAATGCAATTTTTTGAAATAGTGACAAATGCAATGAAGCTGTTCAGAAAAGAGGTGACTCAGCAGGCCTGAGATGGCTATCCTTATAAAGGTCAGCTTGGAAGGTTGGTTACAATGTTGGCCAACAATGTTTGGGAAGTTCCCTACACTGATATAAAGCTTTCCTTAAAAACCCAAACCTCACTTTGGGAGGCCAAGGTGGGTGGATCACGAGGTCAGAAGTTCAAGAACAGCCTGGCCAAGATGATGAAAACCCAGTCTCTACTAAAAATACCAAAATAAAAATAAAAAAATAAAAAAATTAGCTGGGCATGGTGGCGAGTGCATGTAATTCCAGCTACTCGGGAGGCTGAGGCAGAGAATTGCTTAAATCCGGGAGGCAGAGGTTGCAGTGAGCCAAGATTGCACCACCGCACTCCAGTCTGGGTGATACAAGGAGACTCCATCTCAAAAAAAGAAACAAAAAACAGTAAAGAAAAAAAAACCCAAACCTAGGCTGGGTGCAGTCTTACACCTATAATTCCAGCACTTTGGGAAAATAAGGTGGGAGGATTGCAAGTTCAACACCAGCCTGGGCAACATAGTGAGACCTTGTCTTTACAAAAAATTAAAAAATTAGCTGGCCAGGTGTGGTGGCTTACACCTATAATCCCAGCACTTTAGGTGGTCAAGGTGGGTGGATCACCTGAGATCAGAAGTTCAACACCATCCTGGCCAACATTGTAAATCCTTGTCTCTACTAAAAATATAAAAATTAGCTGGGTGTGGTGGTGCACGCCTGTAATCCCAGCTACTCAGGAGGCTGAGGCAGAAGAATCACTTGAACCAGGAAGCGGAGGTTGCAGTGAGCTGAGATGGTGCCACTGCACTCCAGCCTGGGAAACAGAGCGAGACTCTGTTTCAAAAAAAAAAAAAAAAAAAAAAAAATAGCCAAGTATGTGGTCACATACCTGTAGACTCAGCTACTCAACGAGGCTGAAGTGGCCAGACAGCTTGACCTCAGGAGGTTGAAGTTGCAGTCAATCATGATCATGTCACTGCTCTCCAGGCTGGGTGACAGAGCAAAACTGTCTCAAAAAAAAAAAGGAAAAAGAAAAAAAACGAAACCTAGGTATTTGAAGCTATCATGAAACTGATGTACTATGTAAGCCAGAGCCACCCTTTGCTGGAACTCACCTGATTTTGATAAACTTTCCTTACTGTTTAAGCCATTTTGAAGTGGAGTTTTACTGCTTATAGTTAAAAGTATCTTTCTGGATTTCCACTTGTGTTGGCTTTTATAAAAAGACACTGAAATTATAAGCCTGAGCCCTGTGTTTATGACTCAGAAGCATGACTTACTAACTGTGAATGGGGGCAGGACACTAACCATCTTGAGGTACAAGTGAAACGACAGCATATATTTTATAAGTACAGTTATGGAAAGACAGAGGGCAACTCGGAGTGTTAGCTGTACAATGTCTATAAACTTTAATGATCAGACAGGTTCTAGCAAACAGCTGGGCACATCAAGTGAGGCCAATAATGAATCTATACCCCAACCCCAGAATGTTTACATCCAAGATGCTCCACCCAATGTCCACATAATGAGAAGTGCCCCATCTATGACCAAAAACATCTGATGTCAAAGGAATTTTGTGACAGCATGAATTCTAATAAATGAAAGTTTTATTTGGGTCAGCATTACTATTCTGATTTTTAAAGATTATATACAGAGATATCATGAATTTGATCTTTAACCAAAATGTTAAATCCTTTAATAATACCATGATAGAAAACAGCATGAAGTATAATCAACTGTAAAACAGGTTAATACTGGGTGCAGCGGCTCACACCTATAATCCCAGCATTTTGGGAGGCTGAGGGAGGAGAACAGCTTGAGCCCAGGAATGCAAGACCAGCCTGAGCAACATAGCGATACCTGATCTCTATTAGGGAGAAAAAAAACAGTTGAGCCAAAAACATAATACAGAGATGATCTGCTATTGGCAGCAATTCAAATAACATGGCTCAGTCTCTAACAACAGTATCCAGAATGAAAAGTTAACAAACAGAGAAACATACTCATGAAGCTATAGATTTTTTTTCTGTGAATATCAACTATTCTGTACCACAGACACATTCTGAAATTTACATTATTCTTCTTAAAGGTTTTATTGAAAATAATTAGCATTAAAGTACTGAGTACTTAAATTAATACTTAAATTAGTATTATATACTAATTTAAGTACTAATTGTGTAAGTACTTGAATACTAATACTTAAATCAGTATTATATACTACTAATTTAAATTTATACTATTTAATTTAAATTAGTATTATATACTAATAAATTATAGTATTTATATAAAATATAAATATAAAATATAAATTAGTATTATATACTAATTTAAGTATTAGTATTCAAATACTTACACAATTTATTCACTAGTCTTATATATATATGGACACACATTCATACACATACTACACATACACTAACATAAACATATATATACATTAGACCAAAGGGAGTTTTAAAAAAGCACTAAAGAATATTTCATCAATTGCAGAAGTAGAAAGTAAGTTGTGAACTTCCTAAGTTATCAATCATGTTATGAGAATGTGAGTTTTATGTATTAAAAAATAAAACAAGGCAAAAACTTTGTTCCACTTAACAACATACAAAATAGTGTAATATACATAATAAAAATCCATTATCAGACTGTAGATACAAAATAATCAGTGATTTGCATACAATAAACATTAGTAATTTCAATAAAAATATTTTAATAGAATAGTATTACCAGACTGTATTAGGACTGCATAGTGTCATAAAATGGTATAGGAAACAGTAACGATCTTCAAATAACAGAATTTTTTCTACTATATACTAAATACAAGTTTTATCTCCATTTATGCATATCATTAAAAATGTTAAAATTAAAGAATTCTGATTCTAATTTTTTGCTCTTTTATTCTAGAACTGTGTATTGCAATTTCCAAGAAATAACCTATAGTTTCCCAGAATACTTATTTTTAATACTGGCAATCTTCCTGTTCAATACACAAAATATCAATCTTTTCTTCTGTCAGAAAGCTCAAAATGAAAAACTACACCAGGCTCTTTGTTCAGCGTTTTCTCCTCCTCTTGGATGCAGTGAACTCTAAAGACATAAAGTTTAAGTCAGTCAGATCTAAGAAAAGTAACTGACACTTAAATGATAATACCTAATTGATAATATACATTTAAACTACATAGATGTCTAATTGGTACAACACAGTAAGAATGCCCTCACAGCAAAGACACAACGAAAAAATCTTAAACCTGACATATTCAAGAATTTTTTCTTCAAAATGATATAGCAGTTTAAAACATACTATCTCCATTGAGATAGTAAGATCTCAATCTTATTGCAATATCAATCTACTGAGATAGTGGCCCTTAGTCATTCTAAATCCTAATTAATAATAACAAGTTACCATGAAGTTGTTTGATACGGGTATGCACTCCCTATAATTAGTATAAACCCAGTGTGCTAAACATCAAAGATACTTAGGCCAGTACTAAGAGGGAGAAAATGACTAAGATTCCAATTTCATGTCAGTTAAACCTAGAAACATAACCCAATACACTAGTACCATACATCATTCTCGCTACCAGAGGAGATGCCAGAAACAACACTTGAATAACTGTCCATCTAAAAACAGCACAAACCTAAAGGTCACTGATCATTAAAAGCAAAGAAAGTAATAGAAAACCCAAAAACATGAAAATTATCAAAGATGTGGCAAAAAGAAATATTCCAGCTGTGTGTGGTGGCTCACGCCTGTAATCCCAGCCCTTTGGGAAGCCAAGGCAGGCAGATCACTTGAGGTCAGGAGTTCAAGACCAGCCTGGCCAACACGGTGAAACCCCATCTCTACAAAAATACAAAAATGAGCCAGGCATGATGACAGGTGCCTGTAACCCCAGCTACTTGGGAGGCTGAGGCAGGAAAATCACTAGAACCCAGGAGGTGCTGGTTGCGGTGAGCCAAGACTGCGTCATTGCACTCTAGCCTGGGCAACAGAGTGAGACTGCATCTCAAAGAAGGAAATAGTCCCCACCAGTGAAAAACAAAAGGGGAATGGCAGAAAAAGAAAAATAGAGAAGACAAGGAAAAAAACAAATGAAGATGAAGACAAATTCCTAAGCCAGGCATGGTGGCTCATGCCCATAATCCCAGCACTTTGGAAGGCCGAGGCAAGTGGATTGCTTGAGCCCAGGAGTTTAAAACCAGCCTAGGCAACACAGTGAGTCTCCATCTCTATAAAAAAAATACAAAAATTAGCCAGGCATAGTGTCATGTGACTGTAGTCCCAGCTACTCATGAGGCTGAGACGGAAGGGGAGGATAGCCTGAGCTGGGGAGGTCGAAGCCACGTGTAGTAAGTCATTGTGATTGAACCATTGCATTCTACACTGGGCAACTCAGCAAGACCCTGTCTCATTAAAAACAAAAACAAAAAAACTGAAAAAAGAACAGCAGTCAGGATTAGAAGTACTGAAACACTGTCCAGATGGAAGCAGGTCAGAGGTCTGAGAGAGACATCTTCACAAAGATGAAACTGATAAGATACCTAATCAGTATCTATACCATTCGTTAATTGTATTATCCTTGACTCTGAGATGTCATAAATGATATGACTAATACTGAAATTCTCCAATGGGCCAAAAATGAAAGAGTCACAAGAACACACAGCAAACTGTCATGTTCCTCAAGGGTTCTAAACCTTGATGCACTGTGAGTGTAAGTTTACTTCACTAGTTTGACAAAATTTCATCTGTACCTGTTCCACTCAAACTTTCATTCTCTTCTTCCTCTTCTGTAATTATAGGCATACTCAAACTTAAAGGTTTATCTTCTTTGTGTATATTCTGCATGTTACCTGCAAATATTTAGAAAATATTATATAAAAACAAAAAATATTAATCTTTGAGAAAACATTTTACAAAAAATATCATTATTACAGCATAAAAATTAGACACATAAAAACTGAAATTGTAATGGTAAACATAAATACACATTCTAGAATACCTGTCTTTTTTCGAGTACTAATATATTTGTATTTATACTTTGAAAATAGTCTCTAGTTCTTCTACTAGAGAAAACAGCAAAAGGGAATAAACAAAATTAGCCAAACACAAATACTATATTTAATCTTTATCACACACCACAGGGGTCAGATGTGCAGGCATCAAAGAATAATCACATGTTACTTCAACTTTATTAAATTAATTACAAATGTAATTTTTGAGCTTAATAGCCTTGTTTTTGGATTCAGACATACTTTCTTTTCTTACCACATACGCTCTACAAGATATATTTCTCTCATCCTAATTTGCCATTGACTTTCCATTTTCAAAAACACTAGAGGTTCTCTACATCAACCTCCTGCTACCTGAAGAAATATCCCAATGAAATTTATCAGATATCACTGTCATATCAAGTACCATTTAGCACACAACTTCCATGTCCCAAAAGCAATCCCATAAACACTATTTTTTAGACTGTGTTTTTCTTTGCCCCAAACTTTTATCATTTGATATGTTACATTTTGCTTCTTTTTTTTTTTTTTTTTTTGAGATGGCATCTCACTCTGTCAACCACACTGGAGTGCAGTGGTGCCATCACAGCTCATAGAAACCTCTGCCTCCTGGGTTCAAGCAATTCTGTCTCAGTCTCCTAAGCCGGCACACTGAGAACAGAAAGACATTTACTACAGTAAGTGTAACAGAAACACTATTTAAAAATAATAATAATAATAAAGAAACATAAGAATAAAGCACTTTGGCATGAAGCCATTTAGTATGAACTGCCCCACACTTACGTTATTTCTTTTTTCGTTGTTGTTGAGACAGTCTCTCTGTAGCCCAGGCTGGAGTGCAGTGGTATAATCTCAGCTCACTGCAACCTCTGCCTCCCAGGCTCAAGCAATTCTTGTGCCTCAGCCTCCTGAGTAGCTGGGACTATAAGTGCATGCCACCACGCCTGGATAATTTTTGTACTTGTAGTAGAGATGGGGTTTCACTATGCTGGCCAGGCTGGTTTCGAATTCCCGACTCCATGATCCAGCCGCCTCCACCTCCTAAAGTGCTGGGATTACAGGTGTGAGCCACCACACCCAGTCTATTTCTTGACGGAATCATTACATTATAAAACCCAGTAACATAATAGTCATGATGGTGATCATGACTTGTCAGGAGAATATTAAATTATGTTAAGGACACAATGCTCCAGAAAATAAGAGAGCATAAAATATATCTGACTTTAGTGTTTTTCTAATTACAAAAATGATAAATGTAGAAAACAAGAAATATACAAAAAAGAATGCGGGCCTGATGTGGTGGCTCACACCTGTAATCCCAACACTTTGGGAGGCTGAGACGGGTGGATCATGAGGTCAGGAGATTGAGACCATCCTGGCCAACATGGTAAAACCCCCCCTCTACTAAAAATACAAAAATTAGCTGGGCATGGTGGCATGTGCCTGTAGACCCAGCTACTCAGGAGGCTGAGGCAGGAGCATTGCTGGAACCCAGGAGGCACAGGCTGTAGTAAGCCGAAATCGTGCCACTGCACTCCAGCTTGAGTGACAGAGTGAGACTCCACCTTAAAAAAAAAAATATATATATATATATATATATATTTTTTTTTTGAGAAAGATAATAAAAAATAATTAAATTTTTAAAAAGTAAATTTCAGGAAACTTCCCTAGTAACCTGAAGGAGTCCCTAGAAACCCAGTAGTGCCCCCACAGGCAGACAAGCGATCTCATCAAGTAGCTCTCTGACACCACAGCTAGGTAAATCCACAGAGATGGGAAAAAAAACAGCACAAAAAAAGTGAAACCACCAAAGACCAGAGCACCTCTTCTCCTGCAAGGGACCACAACTCCTCAACAACACAGGATCACAACTTGACCGAGAAGGAGTTCGAAGAATTGACGGAAACAGGATTCAGAAGGTGGATAATAACAAACTTTTAAGAGCTAAAGGAACACGTTCTAAGTCAATACAAAGAAACCAAAAACCTTGAAAAAAGGTTAGACGAAATGTTGACTAGAATAAGCAGTTTAGAGAAAAACATAAACGACTTGATGGAGTTGAAGAACACAGCACGAGAACTACGTGAAGCAAACACAAGTTTTAATAGCCTAATCGATCACGCAGAAGAAAGGATATCAGAGATTGAAGATCAACTCAATGAAATAAAAAGAGAAGGCAATAAAAGAGAAAAAAGAGTGAAAAGAAATGAACAAAGCCTCCAAGAAATATGGGATTATGTGAAAAAAACCTAATCTATGCTTGATCGGAGTACCTGAATATGATGGGGAGAATGAATACAAGCTGGAAAACGCACTCCGGGATACTATCCAGGAGAACTTCCCAAGCCTAGCAAGGCAGTCCAAATTTCAAATTCAAGAAATACAGAGAACTCCACAAAGATATTCCTCAATAAGAGCAACCCCAAGGCACATAATCGTCAGACTCACCAGTGTAGAAATGAAGGGAAAAAAGCTAAGGGCAGCCAGAGAGAAAGGACAGGTCACCCACAGAGGGAAGCCACTCAGACTTACAGCAGATCTCTTGGCAGAAATCCTACAAGCCAGAAGAGAGTGGGGGCCAATATTCAACGTCCTTAAAGAAAAGTACTTTCAACCCAGAATCTCATATCCAGCCAAACTAAGCTTCATAAGTGAAGGAGAAATAAAATCCTTTATGGACAAGCAGTTACTGAGAGATTTTGTTACCACCAGACCTGCCCTACAAGAGCTCCCTACACTAAGCACGGAAAGGAACAAGTACCAGTCACTGAAAAAGCAAACCAGTTGGCAAAGACCAAAAATGCAATGAAGAAAATGAGTCAACCAATGAGAAAGAAAACCAGCCAATAACGAAATGGCAGGATCAAATTCACACATAACAATATTAACATTGAATATAAATGGCCTAACGCCCCAATCAAAAGACACAAACTGGCAAACTGGATAAAAAGTCAGAACCCATCAGTGTGCTGTATTCAAGAAACCCATCTCACATACAAAGACACACATAGACTCAAAAGAAAGCGATGGAAGAAGATTTACCAAGCAAATGGGGAGCAAAAAAAAAAGCAGGAGTTGCAATCCTAGTCTGAGAAAATGAACTTCAAACCAACAAAGATCAAAAGAGACAAAGAAGGACATTACATAATGGTAAAAGGATCAATCCAACAGGAAGAGCTAACTAACCTAAATCTATACACCCCCCAACACAGGAGCACCCAGATACATAAAGCAAGTTCTTAACGACTTAAAACGAGATTTAGACTCCCAAACAATAATAGTGGTAGATTTCAATACTCCACGGTCAGTATTAGACAGATCAACGAGACAGAAAATTAACAAGGATATCCAGGACTTGAATGCAGAGCTGGACCAAGCGGATCTAATAGACATATACAGAATGCTCCACCCCAAATCCACAGAATATACATTTTTCTCAGCACCACATTGCACTTACTCTAAAATTGACCACATCATTGAAAGCAAACCAGTCCTCAGCAAATGCAAAAGAACAGAAATCATAACAAACAGTCTGTAAGACCACAGCACAATCAGACTAGAACTCAGGATCAAGAAACACACTCAAACCCTCACAACCACTTGGAAACTGAACAACTTGCTTCTTAAAGTTGACTTGATAAACAATGAAATGAAGGCAGAAATAAAGATGTTCTTTGAAACCAACCAGAATGAAGACACAACTTACTAGAATCTCTGGGACACCTTTAAAGCAGTATTGAGAGGGAAATTTATAGTAATAAACGCCCACCAGAGAAGAGAGGAAAGATCTAAAATCGACACCCTATCATCAAAATTGAAAAAACTAGAGGAGCAAGATCAAAAAAAACTCAAAAGCTAGCAGAAGACAAGAGATAACTAAGATCAGAGCAGAACTGAAGGAGATGGAGACACAAAAAACTCTTCAAAAAAATTAATAAATCCAGGAGCTGGTTTTTTTAAAAGATCAACAAAATAGACTGCTAGCCAGATTAATAAAAAAGAAAAGGGAGAAAAATCAAATAGATGCAATAAAAAACGATAAAGGGGATATCGCCACTAATTGATCCCACAGAAATACAAACTACCATCAGAGATTCCTACAAACAGCTCTACTCACATAAACTAGTATATCAGGAAGAAATGGATATATTCCTAGACACTTGTACTCTACCAAAACTAAACCAGGAGGAAGCCGAAACCCTGAATAGATCAATAACAAGGGCTGAAGTAGAGGCAGCAATCAATAGTCTACTAACCAAAAAAAGTCCAGGTCCAGACGGGTTCACAGCCGAATTCTACCAGGCGTACAAAGAGGAGCTGGTTCCATTCCTTCTGAAACTGTATCAAACAATACAAAAGGAGGGAATCCTCCCTAACACATTTTATGAGACCAACATCATCCTGATACCCAAACTAGGAAGAGAATCAACTAAAAAGAAAACTTCAGGCCAGTATCCACGATGAACATCAATGCAAAAATCTTCAATAAAATACTGGCAAACAGATTGTAACAGCACATCAAGAAGCTTATCCATCACAACCAAGTAAGCTTCATCCCGGGGATGCAAGGCTGGTTCAACATACACAAATCCATAAATGTAGTCCATCACATAAATGGAATCAAAGACAAAAACCACCTGATTATCTCAATAGATGCAGAGAAGGCCTTCAATAAAATTCAACAGCCTTTCATGTTAAACTCTCTCAATAAACTAGGTATCGATGGAATGTATCATAAAATGATAAAAGCTATATATGAGAAACCTACAGCCAATATCACACTGAATGGGCAAAAGCTGGAAGCATTCCCTTTGTAATCAGGCACTAGACAAGGATGCCCT